ATTTTAAATAATATAATTTCCTCCATGGAGATTAAAGATAAAAATACAGGTTGGTTCTAGACAAATTTTGTGATTTTTACAAGTTTGTAGAAATCCATATCTCAATTTCTAATGAGAATTTTAAGAAATGGTGAATAGGCTATTATTACATCAACATATTTTATTAATACATTAATTTAAAGCATATATTATGTTTAGAGAAATACTGTTCACTCAAATAATAGAACTTGAATAAAAGTACATTTCTTCTTTTTATTGTATCTGTGAGAAAGGAACAATTTTAGGTTCAGAGACATATATAATAGAACTTATCTTAGCTAACAAAATAGATATCTATCCTCATTAAGATTTTTCTTTCCTGGAAATCATTAATGAATTTTGACTATGAATTCTCCTGTGAGAAGACAGTTCTCCAGCTGGGCAGTTGTAACATAAGCTATAGAATTCTCATAAAGTCTATAGCTATGTCTGACCAGTCTCACATATTACGCTGCTAAAAATATGTCAACACAATTCTGTAGAATTCTAATGTGTTTATAGACAATGGAGAGTTTGATGCTTGTGAGTAAAAATACTTTGAAAGAAGACTCAAATTTAGTTTCTGAACTGCATGTTAATATTGAACTTAATACTACAATACAAGGGGCTTCCTGATTTTTATCCTGTTACTGTGGAAGGAAATGCTCAGTTAGTGTGTATGCATTTTTGTTTGTTTACTTTTGCTTTTGTTTCTGTTAGGAAAAGTACACAGTTGTCTTGGTTTGTTGCTTTCCTAAGTTCAGTTCCAAAGTCTCCAGTGTATTCCTATGTCATTTTTAGGAATGTGACATGTAATATGGCAACCTTATTTCACTTTGTATGTTATCTGGCCACCTGAGTCCTCGCCCATTTTATACACTAAGAACATTAAGAATTGTTTCAAGATTGATTATCACCTGTTCTTTCAGATCTCAGGAAAAGAAGTACAGATTTTCACTCAGCTGCCCTAATGTTAAAGAAAACACAACAGTGTTTAATTCAGTGCCATAGGCCACTGATGTTCTTTAGAACTGTTTTTTACATACTCCACTATAGTATCACACCATAATTTACAGAAATGTGTAAAGTGAATACAGAAACATAGATCTCAGGTTTTTATACTTGATCTGACACAGTTCTATGAGGGATTTAACTGGAAAGCTAAACGGAGATAAATATAGAGATTAACTGATAGTAAAAACTTAAAACACATGACTTTCTTTTTTAAGAAGTAGGGCTGAAAATTACAAATGTTATGATATTTTAATTTGCTTTACAGACATTGACTGTAAAGTAGCACATTTTTTGTGACATACAAACTTTAACTAAAATACCACTGATGTAAAAATGAGTATTTTGGTCACTTTTTAGTGTATTCCTCTAAAATTGCTCAGATTTTGCATGCATTTGTGCTAAATTCAATTTTTAGACATTGGTTAATAAATAAGTATTATAAACCCCAGCCTGCTACTTTAATGACCTAAGTATACATAAATCCCTGTTACTTTTGTTTTTAATTCTTGATATCATAGTGTTGCTCAGAAAGAGCAAAGGGAAATATTAATTATCCATGATTTTAAGATCCTCTCTTAGCCTTGTCCTTTGGATTTGAGGCTTCTATTGGTACAGAAAGCAGAAGCCCTGTTCTTAGCTCCAAAGGCCCTAACAGATTCTTAAAAAGCCTACTAGACCTCCTTGATTATAGTAGCCCTTCGTAACCATCGTTTATGCTGGTGAATTGAGTATTATCTGGCCAGGAATGTGAAGTTTAAGTCCTAGGCAACCAACCAGCCTGAATGAATTCTTCCCAGTGGACATTCTGACAATACTTAAAAACTTGGCCCTCTCCACCAGGAATATAGTCTTGGTATTCCAGTTCAAAGCCATGGCTTCTGGCCAGCACAGTGACAGTCATGGCCCATTTCTAGTCTCTCCTGGAAAATTAAACAGCTTTTCTGTTTGAGCTGTAACTCCGGTTGTAGACCAAAGGGAAGGGCAGCAATATCACAGCAATAATGGTATTGTCTTTCCTTGTTGACTTTGAGTCTAGAGAGATGTTCTGCATTAGCGATAAAGCCAGCACTAAAATTTAGTACAGGCATTCTAGTAGAAAACCCAGAAATGTCTCTGTTCATTTTGTATTTCCTGGCCTGCAAGATGTTCTTAATCACTTAGTTTTCCTGTGTCTACTATTGCATTTTTGCATTTCTTTCTATATGAAAGGAAGTACCATTGTTTGAGAAAATTCAATCTTATGTGAAATTAGGAATGTTTATTGTTTTTTTTTCTTCAGATTATATATGAGTATCACTTGGTAATACAAATTTATTCCATTGACATTGTTATGTGATTTCAGTTGTTTGATTAGGCTTTGGGTAGGAGAAAAGAGCTTAACGCTTGAAAGTGAAATAGACCACGGTCATATAACACAGTCCAGGACAGGGTGCAAAACAGCCAAACAACCTACTTTTTTTTTCCGTTTTGCTTTAATGATTTTATATTTATTCGCTCTCTCTCTCTCTCTCTCTCTCTCTCTCTCTCTCTCTCTCTCTCTCTCTCTCTCTCTGTGTGTGTGTGTGTGTGCGTGTGTGTCTGTATGAACATATTTGTAGTCAATGTGCTTGTGGAGTAGTTATGTTTTCAACCTGATGTGTTTCAGGGATTGAAACTACAGTCCTCAGTCCTGGCAGCATGTGCTTTTACTTGCAGAGCTATCTAGTTGGCCTACCACTCATCTCTGTAATATGTTTTTATTAGCATTTGTTCATTTACTTGTTATGTGTGGCCATTTTCGCACTATGTCATAGTTAAGCAGGTACAACAGAGACCATTACCCACAAGGCTGAAAATATTGATTTGATTTTTTTCTTCAGAAAATTTACTGAGTGTTTTTCTTTGTCTTTACAAAATGCAAATAAATGTGTGACTTTGGTCTTTGAAGCTATTAAAGAGGTAGAGGATACTGGTCAAGATTTTCTTATCTGATTTTGAGTTAAAGTAAAAATAGTGCAAATGGTGCCATTTAACATGTTTTAGGTACATGGAAGAACTTAGCAGGAAAAATAGTCCATTGTAAGTTTGTATTGATATTTTTAAGGAGGTGGCTATTTAGTTTTATGTTTATTCAAAGAAAGCTAAAATTATTCTTAAAGTGATAATCATTATAACAATAATCATCCAACGAAAATTATCCATGGTGTAGCTGCTTAAACGCCAGGTGTTTCATTGATCTGTGAGTGCATTGATGGATTTTACTCTTTTCTTTGTTTCCTGTTTATTGCTTTGGTGTAATTATACTGGTTTTTTTTTTAATTCAGAAGTTTCAACTTACAAGCTTCCATTATGTCAAATAATGTAAATGCATAAACTTTTCCAGAGTAATTTACAGGCTTCCAAGTACAAGGATTATTCTTTTGGCTTTTAAATTTAAAGCTACTTGCTGTTAGAGAATAAAAATGCCATAATATAGTTATCCTTTTAACTTCTAGTTGAAAGGCAGATACACTTTTGTTTGAAGTTATATGGCTTTGTTACAAATAGACGCATTAAAAATGCTCTCTACTTTCTTGTGATTGATGCTTATATATTTTGAGATCTGGGGATCTGTTTTATGTATTTCTTTTCTGATGGCTGTTCAGGTTCTACTTGAAAGCTAGTGAAACTTCCAGAGCTTTTTGGAGGCAAGGATGTGGAACAGGGTGTTCAAGAATAAATAGAAAAGGAATGGCTTAGGGTTTCTCTGATAAACCTTTCTCATACTTCAGCACTTGAGAAGCTTTGCAGGATAGTTTCAGGGGGAAGCATCAAAGTGTCATGGGTTATGGACTTTGAGTAAAATGCATTGCATTTGCAATTGATTAAAAATATATTTGCATTTCCTGTGCATACATTAAATTGAAGAGCAGAAGAGGCTTCCTGGGATTTTCGTTCAAATTACTATGCTGTAGTGTGTCAATCCCTATAATATCCTTTATATGATGGCTCCTAATCTATATGTACTTTATAAATTCCTCTTTCTTTTTATTGACTGAAAAATACATCATTTTTCTGTTATAACATGACTACATCTTTGTAAGAATTGATAAACTGTTATCAGTGAGTTTTTTTCCACTCAATCAGACATGCTAAATGGTCAGTATAGCTTTATTTGTTCTTGATTAAAGAAAGGAGTTAAGGAATCATTTAGAGTTTGTCTGACTCTCTGAAATTCCCTACTTCAGAAACCATTTTGGCGATGGTGACTACAGACACATGAAATGAAATAAACCACCAACAAACCTTCCTGATGGGAGTTAACTGGGAAATTGTTTTAGAAGTAAAGGAAGAGAAATTAAATCTTGGAGGTTTTATGAAGTAAAGAAAGGCTTTCCAAGTAGGAAAGGAATTTTAAAAAACTGTCTTTCTTGAAATATAATAATGAGATGATTTTCAGGGACTTGAAAGACACAAACTAGTTCATATCATTTATGAACAGACCAAACTAAATTAGTCATGTCACTGGATATTGTCACTAGCTCATTTAGTAAGAAAGTTATTGACTGGGAAAAGGCAAAAGGGGAGTTTCTTGGTGATGAAAGTATCTAAAATCTATGTCTGAATGGTGTCTATATACAATTCATCCTTACCCTTATCTTCTATACTTAAAATTTATTAACTTTATAAGTAAATAAATTTTTTAATCTCAATATTGAAAAAAAGTAGGTCATAAAGACGGACACTCGATTTAACATTTGAAGATCCCATGTAAGAATTATGGCAAAACTCTGTCCTAAAAACTGTGCTGAGTTTAGCAAGGAACCATTTCTTAACAAGGACTTTAATATTAATTTTTGTCAAAAAACATTTCAAACCACAAAGGATGCTTAACATGCAGAGAAATCACATCCAGAGGTGCTTCAAGGTGAAAGGTGCTGAGCAGAGTTCTGTTGATTCTTTGGAGGCTTCGTGTTTAAAAAACCATGCTTTTCTTTTTTTCTTTTCAGATTGGCAGATTGCTACTCTGGCTTTACTCCTGGGCGGCGCTGCCATCATTCTCATTGCATTCCTGGTGGGTTTGATTTCAATCTGTGTGGGATCTCGAAGGCGCTTCTACAGACCTGTTGCTGTTATGCTTTTTGCAGCAGGTAAATATATTCATTACGTTCAAAACAGCATTAAAGATTCATGAACCTTTCTACCATTCTCCCTCCTCATGCATCAGTATGTGTTTGCTTCTTACATAAAAATTGAAAGGCATTTGTTATATTTTAAGGTAATTTGGCTGAAGGTTTATCAGAGTAGTGGTTTTCAGCATGTTAAGCATTTCACAGAACACTGTCAATTTCTAAACTTCTTACTAAAGCATGAATAAATAAAACCTCGTGGGCTGTAAATACAACTTAATAGTAGAGTGCTTATATAGCATGACTTGAAGCTCTAGGACAGGGCATGGAATCTATGTTCAATTCCCAGTCTTGCAAAAACAAAGACAAAGACATCAAATCCAAAAAAATACCTTCACAGGGCTGCTGGGCTATTCCTTTAGAGATTGTAGCAGACGTATTTATCACATCTTTTTATTTTATACTTTTTAAAGCATCAGTTCTTCTCGATCTCAACCCCTAGCCTTCTTTGTGATCTTAGAGCAATAGCTAGCAGTAGCTTACAGTAGCTTTTTTTTTTTTTTAATTCTGACATAAAACAAGAGAGGAAATTTTTTCTTAAATATATACTCTTAAAGGCATATGTGTTTTGGAAAATAAGCACTCCTGTATGGAAAAAATCATGACAGTTAATGTGAACCGTCAAAGAAGTTAATTGTATGAGGACAGCTGGATGTCTATTACTTTAACAACCATTATTCTGTGAAGCATATTTTAAATCGAAATATCAAACAATGTAAACAAAAGACCAACGGCTGTGTTTAAAAGGGGGAGGAGCTTGTGGACTGTTACAAGCCTAGTTCATTATCTGATGTGAGTTGTAATTTTCATTTATAAGAATATCCTTGAATATATTATTCATTTTGACTCTTAACTAAATATTCTTGTGGTATCTTCAATTTTCCCTGTCAGTCATATCTGATTTGAAGTCTGCAAAATAAGCCCCTGTGACTTGTCAATAATGAAGACACTGACAGAACCATCTAGGCTGTTAGATGGAGTTTTAAAGGCTGTTTAAAATTGGAATAGATCAAATGTCTCAGGGTTTAAAGGATAGGATGAGGCAAAACTACAAAACCCAAAGTGTTCTACTGCCCCCTGCTGTTCATGTGCGTTTGATAACAAAGACGACTTAGGCATCATGACAGGGAAAATACAAAGGGCTGAACAGCAATTTAGAAATATGTCTAATTCAGTTACTTAAATGCCCTGCTCAAAATCAAGTAGTCACTGGCAGACCTGGGACTAGAATAGAGGATAGTGAATCTTAAACAAGTGGTTCATTCATTACTGACTTCCTCATATACCCATTCAACTATTTCTGGGATGTCTATTATCGACTAAACATTTTATTAGGACAGCTCTAAAACTGGTCGTAGTATAACTGCAAAACTTATTTTAACAGAAAACAAAAGCATGACTACATAATATATTTTGAAATGTTTGTAATACTACAGTATTATTGTTGCACATGTAATGAGAGCCTCAATTGGGAATGATATAGTAACAAATAAAAAACACTCTTGAGATGTGTCACTATTTGCTAGCTTATTTCTTGGTTGATTGATTTACCATTGGGTCATTTCTTGTCTTACTAGAATGGAACAATGTAAGTATTTTAATTAGGTATAAGTTTGTCTTTGAAGGTAGGACTTAAGAACAGAACAATGAGATAACAAGTAGAAATCTTTTTGATAAAATGTACCTCATAGCACATTATGTTAATGTGGCTTTAAAAGTGGAATTGTTATCAGCCATTTTTAGAATAGTAGATATTTCTTATTGTAGGAGGACATAGAAATACTCCAGTGATTTAAATATTCAACGTTCCTGTGAAACCCCAATGACTATTCCATTTAGCAGTTTACTCACTGCCTCGTACCTAGTGAAAACTGTAAAGATGTTCATTGCTGGTGCCATCCAGAAATTTGTAGATCCTAACTAGGAGTTTGTTTCCGTTTTTATGCTTGAAATATGCATTTTGCCGAGTATAGAAACATTTGTAAAAATGAGTCCTGGTTTTAACAAAATATGGTGGAATTTAACAACATAAAGTTAGGAGGTTTGGCTGGAATAAAATTTTTGATTTAGCTCTAGGTATTACTTATTAGTAAATGTTAAAATCATGAGAGGACACCCTGTAGCAAGATGCATATAGTGTCACTCCATGCACTGAAGCCTAAAATGGGCATTATACTGACTGCTACACTTTAAAAATGTACATGTCTTCAGATTTAATTGTCTTCTCTTTCTTTTGGAACTGATTATAGAAAACTTGTTTTGAAATAACCATTAGTTTAATGTTAAGTTTTAATATAAGCAAGATTAAACATACTTGTTATTATAAATTGCACAAAAAGCCAATAAATCATTATATTTGATTGATTTTTGTTTTTTTTTTTGGAAAGCATGTTCATTGCACATAGTAATCAATTGTTTGTCTGGATTTAAGATTGAAAAACTTGGAAAATCTACATAATTGAAAGTAAATGTACTGAAGTAATTGGCTTACCTCACTTGTAATTTATTTCAGTCATTCTTCAATTGCTTATCTGAGAGCATTTCATTTTTATTTATATTGGCATTTGTGAATATTTTAATTACGTCTCTTAACGAAATGTTTACTTCTCGAAATATCATCAAGCCTTATACTACCAAGCAGTATTTGTCTCTATTCATGTAGAGAAATGAAATCTATCAAAAGAAATGTTTCTTTGCTTCTGCTGAGACAAACAGTACCTGTATTCAAAACAGGCATACCACTTCCACTTGGAAAATATTCTACCCAGAAACAGCCTTCTGTGCTGGTTGGTACTCATGGATACCCAAGAAATAGTCTTTGAATGACTGCTAATAGATGACTATATTTAGTGTATAGTCTTGTGAGAGATTCATGTGATATAAAGTCTTTTTTTTTTCCATTGAGGCTCAGAAAGAAACAGGTTTCACCTGACCCAAAAAGAGTTGGTTTTTGTTTGTTTGTTTTGAAATGTTCTAAAAACAGCCAAACAAATTTTGAAGAATTTTATCATCTTTCTTCCTGGAAGTCTTTACTTCATGGTGGACTTGTAATTAACTTGAGCAGCTGCTAACAGAGCTAAATGTAGCCATTATCACAGCTCATTTAAACCATTGCTCCATTTGCCAACGCTTTCTTATCCTTCCAAGAAGTCTACACTTAGATTCAGGTATTATCTCTAATAATACTGTTGATAGTAATAATTAACTGAACACTGGCCATGTGCTACACTTAAGCATATTCTATTTCTGATACAACAAAGAATTAGGTTTTGAGAGGTTAATTAAGCTCCCCCTATCCCCAGTTATTCAACTACTATGTTGGAGAGCCAGGGTTTCTTTTTCTTTTTCCATTAATTTATTTATTCACTTTATATTCCTATCAGCCCCCCCTTTGCTTACAAAGCTCCTTACCTCTTTCCCTTTTCTCCTCTGAGAAGGGGAAAGTACCTCTCCCCCTGTGGATCACCCCCTTCTGGTACATCAAGTCTCTACAGGGTTAGGTACAATCTCTCTCATTGATGTCAGACAAGGCATCCCAATTGGGGAACAGATAGCACAACTCTCCAGTTGTTTAGGACTCACATGAAGATCAACCTGCACATTTGCTACATATATGTGGGGGGCCTAGGTCCAGCCCTTGTATGAAGAGCCAGGATTTCTATTCAGGATATCTATGTTATATGAAAGATGAAGATTCCCGAATCATCTTAAAGGGTACCTGTCACATTGAAAATAACAAAATAAAACAAAACAAACAAAACAAAGCAGAGAAGAATCGGCTTTACATTTAGTTTTCAAACTAAAAATTTTCCTCTTCTGGCTGTCCTACAACCCCCTTTTTTACTTTCTAAATTCTTTACTGCAGTCTTTTATCTCTCCATTAGAGTGTGTCCTGAAAATCCAGTTGTTCTGTCTCACAGGAACAATACTCCTTTAGGAAGTCAGACACTTGTGATGTTATAAAGACCACAAACTGACTTGTACAAAGCAACTGAACTGACAGAACTATAGCTGACAATAGAAGCTTCTTATCCTTTTTGGATAGCTGACAGTGATAGATTTGTTGAAATTCTGTTACCTGCCATTCAATTTCCCTCACTAATGACTTAGTGAAATCAAAAAGATTGTCTCCTTCGTGGTTCTTCATTGTCTGCTTTTTTACTCCACTGATAATTAGAATGAGTGTTTCCTTTTGTCCTTCATGGATTTTGAGTACAAATTATAGAAAATATTCAATGTTTTATATTTTAGATTTTAGTGGTATCACACTAATTCATTATAGTAATGAAGATGCTCCCTTTTTGTCATATCTGGAGGAAGCCTCCTTCCTGTAAGTGATCATATTGAGTGATAGCTCTTTCCCCCATGATCTTGCAGCTAATTTTCATTTCTGAGTTTTCTCTAGTCCCTGATTAGAAGCTTGTGTTTTCTACCCTTGTCATCGTCTTAAAAGATACTGAGAATATGGACAGTCATTTTGAATCTCAATTTGGCTGAAAATTAGTCTAGCTTAGATTACAAACTGAAAGGATGTTCTACTCACACATGTTTAGTAGTATCCTACTATACTTTGATTAGTGTATTTTACACTAATTAATTTCATAGCAGTACTACTTTTAATTAATTGATAGTTCAACATTCCTTTTATAGGAAAAATGGTTTTATTATCCAAATTACAATTTCCTTTATATTCTATACATAGGAAGCCAGCTGGAAGGCCTGCTGCCTTTCAGTTATCTCCAGAGTCTGCCCCTCGTTTGTTTGCAACATGAATATTGCTTTAGTTGAGTCCACAGTTGTTTCTCAAATGACACATTTTAGTTCCTAAATGTGGTCTTCTGTTTTATTTTTAATTAATAATTTCTAATTTAATTATGTGATTCTTTCCTTTCCCCTTTCCAAGAATCAAGATGACATTCTTTTCTTAGTAGTGTATTTACCATTCCAACCTTTATTTTCCACCTGAATCTTTTTCCCCCTTACCTCCTACTGTCTATGATGGTACATGGACAAGTACTGATCTCTTGGGCTCTGTCCTTTTGTCTATTTAATTGTTCTTGCATACAAGCATAAGGATTCCACTTCTGAAGTAGGAATGTAGTGTTTTCTCTTGTCGACTTGCTTTGCACAAAAGCAATCCCTAAGACAATGAACTCAAGGGTAAACAATCCCATTGCAGAGGTAAAAGATGAACTACAGTTAAGAAACCTACAAAGTAAAAACAGCTTCACAGCACAGCCAGAAGAGAGAGGATTTTCCAACTCATTGTTTTTGAGCCAGAAACAGCGAGATTTTATTCCTTATTAGAACAAGTTTAGAAACTGGTACAAAGCACACACTTTGAGTTCTCTCATTGGAAAGAATGGAAAGCTAGAATATTTAAACATCAGTTTTTATGAAGAACTGGTAGAGGCTGTTGGTTGTGCTTAGTGGACTTCAGCATTAATTTACCAGAACTTGTCATCATTTTACAGGTGAGAAAAATAACTTGAGTTACTAGAGGCAAAGATACGCAAGTGTTAGCAACCAGAAATCTATTTTATATGTGATAGAGTGCAAAGGATAAAACGTTATGGATGGGGCATTGGCAGGTTCTATAACAGAAACAAATACCTCAACTTCACCACAGGAAATACCCAAGAAATGGTTCTTAAAATGTTAAAAAACATTCTCTTAGAAGAAATGTTGAATGTTTTAATTGACAAACACCTGAATAAAAGTAGAGCTGAAAAATGAGTTTCGTGTCAGAAGTCCAAGCACTTGGGAGTGAGAGGTTTGAGAATCAGAAGTTTAAGATCATCCTCTGCTGAGGCCGGAGGATTGATATAACTTCAAGACCAATCTGGCGTATGCATCACGTTTACTTTTCTTAAATCCAAGAAAGTGGATAAAACAAAGCTAAATGCACACAGAGATTAGTAGCTTTAAGTTCCTCTTATATTTCTAGCCATGCAATTTCATAATCATAATTTCCATTGCATCTTGAAAAAAATAAGAAAGTAAATTCCAGTATTTAAAATTCTGAAATGCTCTGTAACTTTCCCAATGCTGTATCTGATGAAGGGCACAGAATACCACAGACAATGCCCACTATTTTTATATTGTATTTTATTGATTAGTGGTAAGATACAAATACAGCATGATGTCATTGTCTTGTGCTGCAAACGTTGGTCCCTCTTCCCCCTTGCAAATATTTCTGAAAAGCAAGGAGGAGTTTTTTGCATTTATTGTATATTTTATAAAACAGAGAAAAAAATTGTTTGCCATTACAGGTTTATATTTTTCTTCAGTTTTTCTATTGAATCATAGTTTTCTCTGTGGGTCCAGAAAGAATAGCACAAGTCAGAAGGTGAATTCATTTAAGGTAATCTTTCATCTTGTTATAACACAAGAAAGGTCTAAGTAACCTGTTCTACTGAGTTTCCCATTGAAACCTTAATGGAATTGTATTTCCACTTGCCTTCTACCCAGAAATCATGTCATTACATTTTACCATAGGGTCTCAGATTTTGCTAAATGAAATACATTGAAATGAAGCTTTAATGCAGCTTAGGTGAGCACCTTACCTGAGGAACTTGCTTTTTGAATAAATTCAAGTTGGTTGTTACTTCTCGGCTCAAATTTCTCTAGCAGCTTCTTGTAATTTAGATTGGAGTCCAAAGCCCTAACTCTGGTCTTCAGGTTAAAACCTAACCAGGAACTGATGCCTGATTTTTTTTAACCTACTTTGTTATCTGAACCAGGCCCACAGCATTAGCATCTTCCTTATTTGAGAGGCACACTTCTCCATCAGGAATTTAACCCTGCCTGTTCTCTGGACACCCTTCTGGCTATGTTGACCTGCATGTCCATTCAAAATTCATGTATATGGTCCTATCAACTTCACAGAAAAAAAAAAAAAACTATTCCTTTGTGAATCTAAAAAGCAGCTCTCAACTCTTTTTCTGATTATTCTTGGATCTCAGTAGTACTTGCTGGTATATTCAGAGTAGACTGACTGATGACTTGGTGGTTTGTTTGTTTGCTTCTTTGTTTGTTTTCTGATGCAGAATGCTCCTATATGGCCTCCAATATTCTCTCTCCTTCCTCAGCTTCCTCAGTTTCTGCCTGGGATCATAGGCATGGACCACAGTGGCCAACTTTTTAGTTTGTACTCATTTACTGTTGAACTGTCCATAAATGAGAATAGTAGTTTTGATTCTCTTGTTATCAATAATGCCTTAAACTGTATAACTCAGAAACATTCATTGAATGGATGAAGTTATTAGATATATTAAAAAGTATATGTAATTTACATCCTTATTTTAATCATATCCTGGT